CCCCCCCCATTTAAACAAAAAGTGGTTGTCCCACTGGCTATCATAAGTTGAATGCACCAATTTGTAACACGCTCTGGATAAGAGCGTCTGCTAAATGATGTAAATGTAAAAATTAATGGTTGCTGAAGTGTGGTTTGGCGTGCCAGTGAAGTAGGAGCTTACTATTGCATTGTTACACATTATAATGTACCAGACATACGTTTAACCATGCAGACCACCAAATGCACAATGGATATGAATTACACAGTTCTATAAAATAACTAAACAGAACAGAACAACATATAACCTGCAACAGCTATTGTGTAATATTGCTCTATCATTTGCTGTGTGTTGTCATCCAACATGTATTTTTGACAATGTCCCATGTCAATAGTTATATTTCCAATATAGTTTTTAAAGTTTTAGTTGTCATGCCCTTTGCCAATCCTAAATGAAAAAAAATGTGTGGTCAGCACTCCCCTAAGCAGGTAATGATTACATTCTTCAAATATGGGGGCTTGCCAGTACCAAACAAACATGTCAAAGTTCAACCCCTGATCAATCCCAAATGAACCACACACAGTATATAAAGTGAATTCGGTACAGATTAAGACCCCAAAGCTGCTGTCTGGAAGGGTGAGTAGGCTACTATAATGCTATCCATCTCTACACTGGGAGATTTGTACTGGTAACTGGCTCTATAGCTTTGGGCCCGTTTTCCCAAAAGCATCTTAAGTTAAGGCTAAGATCATCGTTAGAACCTTCGTAGGATCATAGTTACATTTTCGAGCTGTTTCCCAAAACGATCATTACTAAAGTTGCACTTGAAAAAGCTTGTTATTTACCGCCTGCCTCAGACGACTCATAGAACAGCTAAAAGTGTGTAAAAAAAATTAATAAAGGATATTTCATGCTGAAACCCTCATATTAAACACCAATGGTATTCACTAAGTTGATGGTTTATATTTAGGATAATGTTTTACAGCTTGATTTTTAAATCATCTTATTTAATTATTTCATATATTTTACATGTGATAAGGCCAGAGAGAGAGCCAGAGATAATTACAGACACTTTTGATAATCTGAATTACCCAAAAAGGCCATAAATGTCTTGTGATAGATTACATAAAATTCTTGAAAGATACCAAAATTCTGGTACTTTACTGGTAAACTTCGAAAGTTTCCAGTAATATACCCTCCCTTTACAACCCTACTTGTAATATTGAGTTGCATTGCTATCGGGAAACCGGGCCCTTTCCCAAAAACATCTTAAGGCAAAGTTCATCATTTGAACCTTCGCAGCAGCATCGTTATGTCTGCGATCTGTTTCCCAAAACCTTCCTTACTAAAGTTGCACTTGTAAACGCTTGTTATTTACCTACTGTCTCAGACCACTCATAAAACAGCTAAGTGCGTCGTTAGATGATTTTTTGCCCTTCTGAGGACTTTATTCACAAAAGATCTACGCTAAACATAGAATCAAGATGTTTATCTGTCTGATCGTGACAGACGATAACTTCCAAACGAAGTTGACTAGAAATACAAAGTTGCCAAAGTCTTTGCAATTATTACAAACAAGTGAAGGATAAGAAAATGCTTAAAATGAAAACCGAGATGACTGCATTAAATTATAAATAGGCTACATGTACATATATATTTGAATCATATTGAAATCAATTTCATGTTCAATCAACTGAGTTCTGTTTTTGCCTCAATATATTTCATGTGTAACAACTTGTGCGCAATGATGTGACCAATCTGTGATTAAGAGCATAAGAAGCCGCCTCAATATTTGTTGCCATATGTATTAATATCTCTCTAAGAGCTGATCCGTTGTAAGTAGTGTGGAGCAGTGGCGGCTCCTGAAAAAATTCTCAGGGGGGGCAATTTTTCTGATGATTTAGGTGACCTACACACATTTTAAAAAAGATATGTCCAGCAACAACATGAAGACAGGGGCAGCATATAAGTCAATACCAGAAGCATTTATTGACTGATCTCAAAAGTGTTGGCTTACCAGGGTTGGTGGAGCCCTCAGTTTCATCTTTGCCTCGCAAAGCTAACTCAAACACTCCGCAAAACTTCACACACTGGATTAGCCGGCTGAGGATGTGGCGGTTCTTGCTAATGTCGTAGTAAATATATTTGTTATAGTGAATATGGAATATGATATGTTGAGTAAAATGTTGTGCTAAGATCTATTTAGGTCAGGAGCTGGTTATAAGTTCTGTTCCTATCCAATAACAATGGACAAAAGGGTCCTATCTTGTCAGCCTTGTCAGTTTCAGTTCTCCAGTAAACTTGTGATTATCAACACTAACCTCATCGTTGTGGCGGCGGACAGCTAGCCTGTATCCCTCATCCAGTTGAGTGGGAATGTTCACTCTCCCCAAAGCAGACAGTCTTTGACAGCTCATGTTTCTTAATCTTTCCTGAAAGATGGTGCATGTCCGTTACACACCAGTCGCTGTCCAAGCGGTGCTGTCTGCCGTGCCGCCTTCAGGGTGAAAGAGTAAGCAGGGGGTAGCAGAAGACTGCATTAGCTACATCGCAGCCTGCTAGCCATGTTTTTCGTTCGTACCAATTTTTGGAAAATCCTCGGGTGTAGGACTTCCCCCCTTTAGTAGAAACCTGTTGAATTATTAAATTTGGTCTGGGAGGTCCTAATTGTTTCGTTGCCAATTTATCTTCATTTGTTCGCCGACAAAAAGGAACTTCTTTCAAAGACACAATCGAGTTGCACTGAAGCCTAGCCATTTTGATAGAAGTAGTGAATTGATTGACGAGGCTACCCGCTCTTTTCTTAGTTACGTTCATGGTTATATGTTACGTATGACGAAAGCGCGTAAGTGCAAGCCCTCAGAAACCCATAGAGATTGTATTGAAAGCTCTGATATTTGAAAAAAATAGATTTTACATGGGAGTCTATGACAGACTTCTGGGCGATTTTCAACCTGAATGAAATCGCCCCAAAAGGGGGGGGGGGGCATTTGAAGCACGACTTTAGCCTGATTGGACATTTAGTGGCACTGTGGCAGATCAGACGTCTAGATTACAACACTGATAACTACTGTTGCCGTGATATAATTGATTAGAAAAAAAATCCCTTCCTTTTCCCGTTTGGCAGTGCGTCGCCCATATCGCCCTATTGAACACACTGCCCCTGGTGTGGAGTAATAATGTTAAGGTAAGATTTAAATGAGGAAAGCTGATCCGACAGCAGCGCTGCTTTTCTTTCGTACCTATCAGTATCGAAACATGGTCTAACGACACACTTAGCGAACGGTCTCTCTGCGTAGTGTTTTGGGAAACGCACGTTACATCTTTGGCCGTTGTAGGAAAGATGAATCGTTAAAACACTCCTAAGCATAAGTTCCACCCCTATCAGGAAACTAGGCCCTGTTAAAGGTCGTCTCCAAACATAACATGGTCTCAGAGCATTTCGTATTATTCTGTATGTAAATCAGAGACACTTTGTTAAGTATGATATGTTATGTTTCCTATGGTATGTATTAATTTGTGTATGTCCATCATCCATTTCGTATGATATGTTACGAATTACAATTTGTATGAGATGTTACGAATTACAATTCATACAAATTTTATGAATTTGCAAAACGTACAATATGTTACGAATTTGTAAAAGATATGTTATGAATTCCAACTTGTTGCGGCTAATGTTAGCTAGGTGGAAAACGCTAACGTTAAATAGCTGGCTAACATTAAGATTAGGAGTTAGGTTAAAGGGTTAAGGTTAGGGTTTGGAGAAGGGTTAGCTAAAAGGGTTAAGGTTAGGGTTAGCTAACATGCTAAGTAATTGCAAAGTAGCTAAACAGTAGTAAGAAGTTGCAAAGTTGCTAATTAGCTAAACTGCTAAAGTTGTCCATGATGAGATTCAAACACGCAACCTTTGGGTTGCTAGACGTTTGCGTTATACACCCACCTTCCTTTCACCTTAAGTAACCTTCTATCTTATGTAACCATACCAAACGTAACATATCATACTAATTTGAGGGTCCCGGATTTATGTTCACTATGTTACGTCTAGTCTATGAGACCAGTCTGCCAAACATGGTTCACTGGATTTGTCTGGTGTGACTGTGAGGCCCACTAATTGATAAACTAAAGGCATTATTTACCTTAACTAGGAGTTAAAATGTGTTTGATTGCCAGAATGACTAAGAATGAGCCAATTTACTTCAGGAAACATTCAATTACAAGAGTTTGAAAAGCCAGTAGCTCTGATGGACCAGTGTTGGAGACCACAGAATACGAACATAACAGAATGAGAATACTGATGTGGGAAGATAAAATGTAGTGTAGTTCAATTGCAGGTTTGAGATGAACAGTAAAGAAAGTGTAAATGTTACATAAAATAAATACTATTTTCTGAGGTTGTTGTAGACTACCCTGCCCCATCTCTTGGCAAAATATGTGTTCTCTGTTTCCCTTTGTCTCCACTGGAACGTTCTAGAAGCCCTGACATGTTCCAGTCTACCTCAGGGGCATAGAGTGATGTAATAATGTGACTGTTAATTATGTGTGGTGAAATTGAACATGTGACTGTCATGTGTAGTATCTATGTGAAGCTTATACTTCCAGAAGTATTTTGATGTAATCTGTATGGAAGTATAATGTATAATCTTATCTCATTGGTCAATGTGGCAAACAACTCTGGTTTGAAAAAGTAACACTTCCAGGTAGATTTAAAAGGAATGATTTGGCCACCATCGTTTGTTCTCTTCTTCTTATCCTGCAGATCCTGGAGGATTGAACAGTATGCTCTCCCTTTCTCTCTCACCCTCATTAATGATTTACAATATGCAGTATGCCACAGGCCAGAAAGTTCTACCAAGTTGTGTACCCAGATTCAATGGGTTTAGCCTATATCATTAATTGAAATGACCATTGAATAGCGGTACATCTTCCAGATAGTGACATTAAATGTGGTGACTATTGCGGAATCAAAACCAAATTGATTGACTAATGCTATTTTTTAAAACTTTGTGATAGTTGACAACATGAGGACAGCCCTGTGTTTGTGGATCGTTATGGCAGTGCTTTGCCCGGGAGAGGTCAGAGGTCACAAAGGTAACGGAGGTGACCGCCACCACGGTCACGGGCGCGAGCATGGTGGTGGGCACGACCGCGACCATGGTGGTGGGCGCGACCGCGACCATGGTGGTGAGTGCGACCGCGACCATGGTGACAGGCGCGACCGCGACCATGGTGACAGGCGCGACCGCGACCATGGTGACAGGCGCGACCATGGTGACAGGCGAGACCACGACCATGGTCGAGACCACGACCATGGTCGAGACCACGACCATGGTCGAGACCACGACCACGGGCATCATCACCATGAGCCCAGTGACAACAGCACTAAACCAGTGATCCAAGGAAACGGGGAGTTTGCTTTCAGCCTGTACAAGCAGCTGGTTGTTCAGCCTGACAACCAGGGCAAGAACGTGTTCTTCTCCCCGCTGAGTGTGTCCCTGGCCCTGGCAGCTCTGTCCATGGGGGCCAAGGGTCAGACCCACCAGCAGCTTTTCACTGGTCTGGGCTTCAACAGCAGCCTACTGACCCAAGAACAGGTGGACCAGACCTTCCAGACCATCCTCACACGGCTCAACCAGAAGAAAGGAGTGAACCTGACCATAGGAAGTGCACTTTTCCTGCAAAACACCTTTACACCACGCCCCAAGTTCCTCGAGGACATGAAGCGCTTCTACCTTTCTGAGGGTGTCACAGTCGACTTCACCAACACTGCTAAGGCCATCGATACAATCAATACATACGTGGGGGAGAAGACCAAAGGCAAGATAGACAAGTTAGTCAATGATCTGGACCCAACCACTGTCATGTACCTCCTCAGCTACATTTACTTCAAAGGTAAGAGGATATTGCAAACTATAAGACAAAATAACAATAATAAAAAAATGTAATAGGGTCCTTGAAATGAAGTAGAGTTCACGTCTTTGATTGATGCAGATCTTGTGTACACGTAATTCCTTCTAACTGTCAATATGTCTTTTTGTCTCTGGGTGTTGTTTGTGTTATTGATGCCATTGTACCTTTTGGCTGTATCGCCTGCTGAATCTTGCTGGGTCTCCCTCAGAAAACCACTTTTGGTCTGGTAACCTTTACTCACCACATCACACCCTGAAATGTTTTACGATTTTCTAATTCCCAAGGAAAATGGGAGATACCCTTTGACCCTGAAGACACGAAGGAGGACACATTCCATGTGGATGAAAACACCACTGTTCCGGTCCAGATGATGAGCGTGGAGAAGAGGTTCTCTGTCTACTACGACCAGGAGATCTCCACCAGTATCCTGCATCTCCGCTACAACGACTCAGTGTCCATGATGCTGGCGCTACCAGAGAAGGGACTCGCTAGTCTGGACAAGGTCATATGCCACAACCACATCACCAAGTGGCACAGGTGGAAGAGGGCCAGGTATAACCCGTCTTAATCATTAAGCATCACTCTCATAGAACTAATAAAACGTTGGGTGGGTAAAACAACCACATATCACAATCATTGCAAGTAAAACCTTCTTCCTGTCCATGTTTATCTTTAGGGAATACCAGGTGCATGTTCCCAGGTTGTCCATCACCACAACATACTCCCTTAAGGACATCCTGAGTGGAATCGGAATGCCGGACATATTCAGTGATAGAGCTGACTTCAGTGGAATATCAGAGGAACTGAAGGTGGCTGTCTCAGAGGTGGGGAACCCATTCACTCTCAGTGATTCATAAAGACATAAATATACAGGGAAACAACAGACAACTGCAACAGCAACGCACTAACCTCTAGAGCACGACCATGTAATGACAGCCTTAATGTTACTGTCATTTTCAATTCGTAGTTTTATCCCTGCCTTTTCAGGGAGCCCCTGAAAGCTCTATCTGGCTCCCCAGGGGTCCCGGGAGAATCACTGCCCTAGAACATACTATGTGTATTCGCTATGTGAACCATGTGAACTAGGCCTATGTACTGAACATCAGACTGCATTGTGTGGTTGTTTTCAGGCAGTGCACCAAGCCTCCTTGGATGTGGATGAGGCTGGAGCGACCGCAGCAGCTGCCACAGGTGTGGTCCCTATGCCCCTCTCCTCCCGACACACCCCTGTCTTGAAGTTCGACCGTCCATTCATGATCTTTGTCATGGACCGGGAGACCAAGAGTATTCTCTTCATGGGCAAGATCATCAACCCAGCCAACAAATAAATCCGGTGCTATGTAAAACCAGTGCTGCAGAAAACATGTGCTCTATAAAAGCTGTGGTCTATAATCACAAATTGAAATCTAAGTGCTGTTGTTAGGAAACCAGTAAGCAAACCCATCCAAACTCCTCTTGGTCAATCTAGCCTGGGAAGCTAAAGTTAACAAGCGTATACATCCTCTGTATTTACTTTGCTGGATATTTGTACAACTATTAAATACATATCACCATTTGCTGCCAGTCTTTCTTCTTATCTTTTGGCTCTAGGCCTAATAAAGCATGTTACAGAATTTGGACACATACATGTTCTTGCAACGTTTCCATGAAACGTGTCTAGAACATTAATATCTTATCTTCTGAGAACATGGCAACAATGTTCTATGTATGTTTGGTGGGACTTTGATGGAATATTTTCCTAACCCACAGAAAACTGGACACATGAATGTTCTTGCAATGTTCCCATGAAACGTGTCTAGAACATTAATTTCTTATCTTCTGAGAACATGGCAACAATGTTCTATGTATGTTTGGTGGGACTTTGATGGAATATTTTCCTAACCCACAGAAAACTGGACACATGAATGTTCTTGCAATGTTCCCATGAAACGTGTCAAGAACATTAATATCTTAAGTTCTGAGAACATGGAACCACGTTCTGGGTAAGTTCTAGTTGACATTAAGGGAATGGTCTCTTGGAAACATTCCTTGCACATCACAGGAACATTCCTATGAAAACGTTAGTTAATGACCTAACAAGACTTTTAAGGGAATGTTCTCTAAAGTTCTGAGGAACGTTTGTCGTTAGCTGTGTAGTTAACCAATATACTATAATTTGCTTGCCAACCAGATGAAATGTTGATTACTTTTCCTTGGTTCACTCCATTGTTCGATTGGATGGGCCTGAGTAGGCTACTACATTCAGACATGGCGGAAAGAACGGTGGAGCAGGCTACTAATGGAGAGCAAGAAGAAGCATATTTTTACAGAGAAAGGATGAAATGTACACCAGAAGAGGAGCCAAGACTCGAAAGGCAACACTTTTGGAAAGTGATCGATGCGTTTAGATACTACAGGTACGGACTGTTTCAAAACAGCAGTATTAACGTTATATGAATGGTTGTTAGCGCGCGAGTTAACACACAACAAAGTAATTTGACCCAGTCAGTGTGTCTGGCTAGCTTGATGGAGTAACGTCACTGACTGTACTGAATTTGGTAACGTTTTGTCGGAAGATTTTAGAAGAGAGATTACTAACTAATTATGATGCATAGCTAGCTAAGACAGATTTGTGTATTTATATTGGGGTCCGTTTTGGCTAATTACATATTCCTATAGGTACCAAACCGAGGTAGAATTAGTTTAATATTTAATATTCGGTAGATATACTATAGGTATATTCTAGGCATACTTTCAAGAATGCTAATTACTACTATCAATCGGGTAGAGCTACCTCAAGAAATGTCTTCCTCTAGTCGTTGTGAATGTAAGTCGCTCTGGATAAGAGCGTCTGTTAAATGACTAAAATGTAAAAATGTTGTGTACATTCCTCTCTCCTGTGGTCTGTGTGTATCCATAGGGGAACAGGCTCAATATACTTCTTCTTCAGTGGGGCTTATCGGCGTTTGGCATCCAACGTTATGGTGCATTACCGCCACCTACCGTACTGGAGTGTGGGCCAGCGAGGGGGATAAACTAAATCCTACCTGCCAACCCCGTTTCTCTTAAAAAAGATAACAAAATATTTGAGACTATATCTAATGACGCTCTACTCAATATACTCTTTAAACTAATTTCCTGTATCCCCTTCTCCCTCATACTGAATCTCATCCTCTCTCTTTCCCTCTGATACTGCCCACACTGTAGCAATACATGCTCCAGTCTCTATTTCATGACAATAATCACACTTTCCTGATGGATGCTTTCCTATCACGTTTAATGTCTTATTCAACTGGCTGTGTCCCACCCTTAATCTTGTAAAAATAGCCTCCTCTCTTCTGTCCCTTCCTGCCATCCTCCCCTCCCCGACTTTCCTCTGTACTTGAAATAAATGCCTTCCCTTATTAGTTCTACTCCACTGCTCCTGCCATCTCTTCACCATCACTGTATATATCAGTGTTTTTGCCTCTGCCTTGCTCATTGACACTTCAACATCAACATCCCCACTACTAAGTGCTTGTTTAGGCTGTTCATCTACTGCCTCGTTCCCCTCAACCCCCACATGGGCTGGAACCCAAGTAAATCTTATCTGAATACCCATCTGTTTAACCCTGCCATGGGTTTGTATCACCTCATAAAGCAGGACTTGTCTGCTACGTGAGCTAAAGGACTGGAGAATCATTAACACTGCACGAATCAGAGCACATAACTACTCCATCTGGCTTAACTTCCTCCACCCACTGCAAGGCCAACAGTATGGCCATCAGCTCCGCCGTATATACAGCCAGATGATCTGTAATACGTTTCCTGACTTCCACCCCACATTCCTGCACTACAAATGCTGACCCAGTACGTCCTGTCCCTGGATCTTTTGAACCATCTGTGTAAATGGCCACAAAATCCTGATACAGTTTCCAGACATCTCTTAAAGAAATCAGCTGGATCAACACCCTCCCTATCGTTCTGTAGTCTCTCCAACACTTCTAGATCAACTACTGTAGATGGGAGTAGCCATGGTGGATTTACTCAATGGATTTTGCTTCTTCTGTGTATTTTATATTGTGGTTTGCAAAAAACTTCAAGGTGCATTACCTCCACCAACTGGACTGGAGTGTGGACCAGAGACAGGGAAGGTGTAAATTCTACCCATTATTCTAGAAAAATAAATACATAATTAAATACTACATCCCCTGAAGATTTTATCAGCAGTTAATTTAAGCTTGGCTCTTTAAGACCATTACTCCTTATATCTAATAACAATCTCTCCCTTTCCTTTTCATATTGCTGGCACTGAAAGAGAACGTGTTCCACTCAATGAGATATACAGTGCATTCGGAAAGTATTCAGACCCCTTGACTTTTCCACATTTTTTACATTACAGCCTTATTCTCAAGTTGATTTAATTATTTTTTTTCCTCATCAGTCTACACACAATACCCCATAATGACAAAGCGAAAACAGGTTTTTAGACATTTTTGCAAATGTATTAAAAATAAACAGATACCTTATTTACATAAATATTCAGACCCTTTGATATATATATATATATACAGTTGAAGTCGGAAGTTTACATGCACTTAATTTTTCAACCACTCCACAAATTTATTTTTAACAAACTATAGTTTTGGCAAGGCGGTTAGGACATCTACTTTGTGCATGTCACAAGTAACTTTTCCAACAATTGTTTATAGAGAGATTATTTCACTTATAATTCACTCTATCACAATTCCAGTGGGTCAGAAGTTTACATACACTAAGTTGACTGTGCCTTTAAACAGCTTGGAAAATTCCAGAAAATGATGTAATGGCTTTAGAAGCTTCTGATAGGCTAATTGACATCATTTGAGTCAATTGGAGGTGTACCTGTGGATGTATTTCAAGGCCTACCTTCAAACTCAGTGCCTCTTTGCTTGACATCATGGGAAAATATGATGAAACAAAAATAGAACTGTTTGGCCATAATGACCATCGTTATGTTTGGAGGAAAAAGGGGATAGCTTGCAAGCCGAAGAACACCATCCCAACCGTGAAGCACGGGGGTGGCAGCATCATGCTGTGGGGGTGCTTTGCTGCAGGAGGGATTGGTGCACTTCACAAACTAGATGGCATCATGAGGAAGGAAAATTATGTGGATATATTGAAGCAACATCTCAAGACATCAGTCAGGAAGTTAAAGCTTGGTCGCAAATGGGTCTTCCAAATGGACAATGACCCCAAGCATACTTCCAAAGTTGTGGCAAAATGGCTTAAGGACAACAAAGTCTAGGTATTGGAGTGGCCATCACAAAGCCGTACCTCAATCCTATAGAAAATGTGTGGTCAGAACTGAAAAAGCGTGTGCGAGCAAGAAGGCCTACAAACCTGACTCAGTTACACCAGCTCTGTCAGGAGGAATGGGCCAAAATTCACCCAACTTATTGTGGGAAGCTTGTGGAAGGCTACCCAAAACGTTTGACCCAAGTTAAACAATTTAAAGGCAATGCTATCAAATATTAATTGAGTGTATGTAAACTTCTGACCCACTGGGAATGTGATGAAATAAATAAAAGCTGAAATAAATCACTCTCTACTATTATTCTGACATTTCTTATTCTTAAAATAAAGTGGCGATCCTAACTGACCTAAGACAGGGAATTTTTACTAGGATAAAATGTCAGGAATTGTGAAAAACTGAGTTTAAATGTATTTGGCTAAAGTGTGTGTGTGTGTGTATATATATATATATATACACAGTGGGGAGAACAAGTATTTGATACACTGCCGATTTTGCAGGTTTTCCTACTTACAAAGCATGTAGAGGTCTGTAATTTTTATCATAGGTACACTTAAACTGTGAGAGACGGAATCTAAAAAAAAAATCCAGAAAATCACATTGTATGATTTTTAAGTAATTAATTTGCATTTTATGGGCAACACAGACTTTCAACTCCCTCCAAAGATTTTCTATGGGGTTGAGATCTGGAGACTGGCTAGGCCACTCCAGGACCTTGAAATGCTTCTTACGAAGCCACTCCTTCGTTGCCCGGGCAGTGTGTTTGGGATCATTGTCATGCTGAAAGACCCAGCCACGTTTCATCTTCAATGCCCTTGCTGATGGAAGGAGGTTTTCACTCAAAAGTGTGTTACTGATGGTAGGCTTTGTTACTTTGGTCCCAGCTCTCTGCAGGTCATTCACTAGGTCCCCCCGTGTGGTTCTGGGATTTTTGCTCACCATTCTTGTGATCATTTTGACCCCACGGGGTGAGATCTTGCGTGGAGCCCCAGATCGAGGGAGATTATCAGTGGTCTTATATGTCTTCCATTTCCTAATAATTGCTCCCACAGTTGATTTCTTCAAACCAAGCTGCTTACCTATTGCAGATTCAGTCTTCCCAGCCTGGTGCAGGTCTACAATTTTGTTTCTGGTGTCCTTTGACAGCTCTTTGGTCTTGGCCATAGTGGAGTTTGGAGTGTGACTGTTTGAGGTTGTGGACAGGTGTCTTTTATACTGATAACAAGTTCAAACAGGTGCCATTAATACAGGTAACGAGTGGAGGACAGAGGAGCCTCTTAAAGAAGAAGTTACAGGTCTGTGAGAGCCAGAAATCTTGCTTGTTTGTAGGTGACCAAATACTTATTTTCCACCATAATTTGCAAATAAATTCATTAAAAATCCTACAATGTGATTTTCTGGATTTTTTTTCCTCAATTTGTCTGTCATAGTTGACGTGTACCTATGATGAAAATTACAGGCCTCTCTCATCTTTTTAAGTGGGAGAACTTGCACAATTGGTGGCTGACTAAATACTTTTTTTCCCCACTGTGTATATATATATATACACACACACACACACACACACAACCAGTGAAAAGTTTGGACATCTACTCATTCAAGGGTTTTTCTTTATTTTTACAATTTTTTTATATTGTAGAATAATAGTGAAGACATCAAAACTATGAAATAACACATATGGAATCATGTAGTAAACAAAAAAGTGTTAAACAAATCAAAATATATTTTATATTTGAGATTCTTCAAATAGCCACCCTTTGCCTTGATGACAGCTTTGCACACTCTTGGTCACTCTGACAGAGCTCTAGAGTTCCTCTGTGGAGATGGGAGAAACTTCCAGAAGGACAACAATCTCTGCAGCACTCCACCAATCAGGCCTTTATGGTAGAGTGGCCAGATGGAAGCCACTCCTCAGTAAAAATCACATGACAGCCCACTTGGAGTTCGCCTAAAGACTCTCAGACCATGAGAAAGAAGATTCTCTGGTCTGATGAAACCAAGATTGAACTCTTTGGCCTGAATGCCAAGTGTCACGTCTGGAGGAAACCTGGCACCATCCCTATGTTGAAGCATGGTGGTGGCAGCAGCATGCTGTGGGGATGTTTTTCAGCGGCAGGGCCTGGAAGACTAGTCAGGATCGAGGCAAAGATGAACGGAGCAAATTACAGAGATCCTTGATGAAAACCTGCTCAGGACCTCAGACTGGGGCAAAGGTTCACCTTCCAACAGGACAATGACCCTAAGCACACAGCCAAGACAACGCAGGAGTGGCTTCGGGACAAGTCTCTGAATGTCCTTGAGTGGCCCAGCCAGAACACGGACTTGAACCCGATCGAATCTCTCTGGATAGACCTGAAAATAGCTGTGCAACAACACTCCCCATCCAACCTGACAGAGCTTGAGAGGATCTGCAGAGAAGAATGGGAGAAACTCCCCAGATACAGGTGTGCCAAGCTTGTAGCGTCATACCCAAGAAGACTCGAGGCTGTAATCACTGCCAAAGGTGCTTCAACAAAGTACTGAGTAAAGGGTCTGAATACTTATGTAAATTTTATGTCAATTTTTTTTATTTTATTTTTTTTATATACATTTGCAAAAATGTCTAAACCTGTTTTTGCTTTGTCATTATGGGGTTTTGTGTGTAGATTGATGAAGGGGGGAAAAAACAATTTAATCAATTTTAGAATAAGGCTGTAACGTAACAAAATGTGGAAAAAGTTGAGGTGTCTGAATACTTTCCGAATGCACTGTATAAATTGATAAATAAATAAATAAATAAATAAACACTAAAGTACATTTGTCCATCCACCCGATTCTGAATATAAAATGTTCATAGTCATGGCATGCTTTGTGTAAGAGCTAATTAAGATTGAAAGCAAAGAAATACACAAAGAAACACATTTTAAACCAAAACAAAGCTGTGGATTTGTCTATCCTCCCCCGATCCAGAATATATAATTTTCATAGTAATGGAACGCTTTGTTTAAGAGCTATTGAAATTTTGAAATACGAAATATTATTATACAAAAAATAAAAAGTTATGAGTTTTTCTCCATCCACTCCTGATTCAGATTATACTGTCTTCATAGTCATGGCATGCTTGGTTCAATAGCTATTGACGAGAGAATCGAATATCCACCAAATATCCAATATAAAACTAATTTAACCTCGATAGCTAACCACCACCTCTGTTTAGCTATTAGCTAGCACCGAAGCAAAGGATGTGGAGCTAGCTAGCCCTAGAAAATAGCAAAGATAAAATATTATCCTAAAACAACATGGGCTAAAGTCCAGAAAGACAAAAATGTACATTTCAATACAGTTACTCATGTTATTTACAAACAAGTGTAGAAATTACAACAACCTAAAATGTACAAATTACCTCGACTAACCTGTACCCCCGCACATTGACTCGGTACCTGTACCCCCTGTATATAGCCTCGTTATTGTTATTTTGTGTTACTTTCTATTTAATTGTTTTACTTTAATTTATTTAGTAAATATTTTCTGAACTCCATTTCTTGAACTGCATTGTTGGTTAAGGGCTTGTAAGTAAGCATTTCACGGCAAGGTCTACACCTGTTGTATTCGGCGCATGTGAAAAATAAAATGTAATTTGATTTGATCACATGATTATGCCTAGCCTATACAACCATGTTCACCAAGTAGAAGATGCTTAGAAAATATTAATGTGTTTTGTGAATCTTTGTGTCAAGTCATTTTAATAAGTCTGCATTTTGAATTGAACATTTTCATAATTAAAAAAGGCTATCAAATATAGCTAGGTTTCTATTTTCCCATTTTAGTTTATCCCCATCTCCTCTTTCTCCTGTCCACCATGGCACCACCCTCCCCTTAATCTCAGGATGCATGTTCAGGAACGGGTCAATCGAGCAGAGCGTCAGTTCCGGAGTCTTCCTGAGCATCACCAGCTGCTGCTGCCCAGGGTCCTGCCCAACCTGGCCCGTATCCGGCGCAGTGTGGACCACAACCAGGAGGTGCTGCATGCCATCGTGCTCAACTGTGTCCACATGTTTGAGAACATGCAGTATGGCAAAGAGGTAAGCTGAAGGGTCAGAAAGGTCACACATGATTTCTCTTACATTAGACACTAGGCTACTAACCTTGGTTACATTAGACACTAGGCTACTTCTAGCGATCAAACTACTGGAAGTCAATCATTTTCAATGAAAGGAGGAGACAAGGAGTCATTCAGCGATTTAACCACTGGCGACTAGAGAGCTTGTTGAGAAAATTCCAACTACGAAAATTATCAGTGATGCGACCCAATCGGAGGAGGGAGGGTCTTACTTGCTAGCTTTGACACTGCTGGATAGGCTAACAACAAGTTTGCTGTTTGGCATGCTGTTTGAGAAGATATCAGAGATTCCTTACTTCGTGGTAGGAGAAGTAGTAGGCTGCATCTAGGTGTGCAGTGCAATAAAAATATAGTAGTATAACTATACTGAATAAACATATATATGCAACAATTTCTAATATTTTACTGAGTTACAGTTCTTATGAGGAAATCAGTCAATTGAAATAAATTCATTAGGCCCTAATCTATGCTTGTCACAGATACCTTAAACAAAATGGGCCTCAGGACCTCGTCAGAGTATTTCTGTGCATTCAAATTGCCATCAATAAAATGCAATAGTGATCGTTGTCCGTAGCTTATGCCTGCCCATACCATAACCCCACGCCACCATTGGACACTCTGTTCACAACGTTCACATCAGCAAACCGCTCGCCCACTCAACGCCATACATGTGGTTTGCGGTTGTGAGGCCGGTTACATGTACTTCCAAATTCTCTAAAATGACGTTTAGGCGGCTTATGGTAGAGAAATTAACATTCAATTTTGGCAACAGCGCTGCTGGCCAATTTCACGCTCCCTCAAAACTTGAGACATCTGTGGCATTGTGTTGTGTGACAAAACTGCAAATTTTAGAGTGGCCTTTTATTGTCCCCAGGACAAGGTGCACCTGTGTAATGATAATGCTGTTTAATCAGCTTCTTGATATGCCACACCTGTCAGGTGGATGGATTATCTTGGCAAAGGAGAAATGCTCACTAACAGGGATGTAAAAATAATTGTGCACAACATTTGAGAGAGAAGCTCTTTCAGGGATATTTTATTTCAGCTCATGAGACATGGGACCAACACTTTACATGTTGCGTTTATTTTTTGTTCAGTGTAGTTGGTGGTGCTGCAGATGTTTGTCTATTCTAGTATACCACACCATTTCTCTAGTTATTGTATTAGTGGAAATTATATTAGTATAGATCTTAGATTCATTTGCTGCCATGATCCTTTCATCATTGGATGCATTTTGAGGAGTTAAAATGTCTTTCTGTCCAGGATGACCTGAGGAAGGTGTGTACGTCCTCCATGTTCGACATAGACAAGCTCAAATCCACCATTAAGCAGTTTGTGCGTGACTGGAGTGAGGCGGGCCAGGCTGAGAGAAACTCCTGCTACCTGCCCCTCATCCAAGAGATCCAGAGACTCTTTCCCAGCGACAAGTGGTGAGCGCACACAGTCTTGGAATTCTAACTCAGTTGTGTGATTTTGTATTCTGAGTTATGTGTGTATTCTGTCAGTGATGGCATGGTTGTTTCTGTAGTGATGTGTCTAAGGTGAGCGTGCTGGTTCCGGGGGCGGGGCTTGGTCGCCTGGCATGGGAAATCGCTCGTCTGGGCTACGCCTGCCAAGGCAACGAATGGAGCTTCTTCATGCTCTTCTCCTCCAACTTTGTCCTCAACAGGTAACGCACAACCTCAGCCCTCATTTAAGCCTTGCATATAATGCAATAATTCAGGCCTTGCATATGTTGCACAATGTGTCATTTTAATGATTGAGTATTAAACACAGTTTTAACAATGTTGAAATGTGTCTGGTGTTTGTGCCTGAGAACTTGGGCCAAATCAATTGCCTAGCATTTCAAAATAGCCCCATGCAATCCTCTTCGGAAAAAAGTATTTATTGTTGGTGATAATTTTCTCACACTAGTGTTGTTCAGCTTATCTTACCTCTGTTCTTCCTCTTTCCTGAGGTGTGAAAAGGTCAACTCCATGACCCTGTACCCCTGGATCCACCAGTTCAGCAACAACAAGAGATCATCTGATCAGACGCGGCCAATCACCTTCCCAGACGTCAACCCCCAGAGCCTGCCTCCAAACTCTGACTTCTCCATGGTGGCCGGGGACTTCCAGGAGGTCTACACACAGCCTAGTGAGTGGTGAGCCCCACACAGGCTGTCTGAAAGATCAACAAGAGCAATAAGTGAATTAATAAGTAGGCTCGCCTGAGAGAGTCAAGAGAAAAGCCAGCCAACCCCATTAGCCAAGCAAACTGTCCACAAGATGGCGTATTGAATAGAAATCGGTACGAAACACCTCAAGATAAAAACATAATATTCAAAATCAGTAAGTTAGACTGAATATTAGCATTTCATATATTCGCAGTTAATATAATTCAATCTGGATAATAACACAAAACAGGCTAGAGAAATATATCGACAAATATTACATCAACACGCAACACCCAAACATGACTGAAGACAAGCGTGGAGAGCCGATCCCCAAAAGGAAACGCGACTCATTGACTGATACAGATGATATATGCTTTTCACCACTGGGTATGGTAAGTGTGGAAAGCGACCTGTTGAAGTCGATAAATGACAAATTGGGCATACTAGAATTGGTCAGTAAAGACGTAAAAGAGTTGAAAGCGAGTCTTCAAATGAGTGACGAAAAAGCTTTGGTAATGGAGAAAGAAACCAAATAATTAAAAGTGACAGTCTCTAAAATGGAAACGGACGTTAGGGAACTAAAAAAGGAGAACAATCTTCTGAGAGAAGCCTTACTAGACATCCAAACTAGATCGATGAGGGAAAATCTAGTACTTACGGGTATTCAGGAAAAGGAGGGAGAAATAACAGAGAATATTATGAAGGACTTCCTGCATACAGCGCTACAAATCCCACTCGAGGCTGTCGATAAAATCCAACTCGAACGTGTACATCGTTTCGGAAAAAGAGGACAGAAATATGAGCGCCCAATCGTTGCCAAATTTGCTTTTTTTAAGGATAAAGCTATGGTGAAAAGCCTGGGAAAAAGACTTGCTGGCACGAAAATAGGCATGAATGATCAGTTCCCGAGGGAGATTGTAGAAAGGCGCAAAGTTCTGTATCCAATCTTCAAGGAAAACAGATTAAAAGGGAAACGTGTTGCACTAGTGGTGGATAAATTATATATTGACAACCAAATGTTCAGAGACACAAAGACTACTCCATGGCTATTCTAAAAGTTGTAATAGAGGAGTCAAATATTGGAGCACCTGATACTAGCAATGATAGGGATTGTAATATTAAATAACATTTATAGTAAGTATAGTATTTTATAAAAGGATAAAACGATATAACAAGCAGAATAATACATATTTAAATACAAATAATTAGAACATGGCTTTTTTTGGCGGGAGGTTGTTGTTTTGGCGGATGGTTGTTGTGGTTGGTCCTGTGTTCTCTCTGGCGTCCTTTCCCCTTGCGGCAGATGTGGATGCGGGTGCGTTTGCACGCTCGGCCCATTTCTTCCCCAGTCAACCATGTGGTGTGCATTTTTGTGTTTGAAAAGGTGCGGCGTTAAGTGAGTGAGAGGGGAAATGGTTGCATATCCCAGAGCCGACCGGGGGTCTATGAGCAGGGGTACTGAGAGAGAGCTTTCAATTTTGTGTAGATGAGGGATATACATTTTTAAATATAGTATACATCTAATCTAATTTTTCATTGTCCTATCATGATGGAAAGATCCCTAACCCTATAACCTGGACACCCACCTGAGCGACCCATACACCAAAGAGAAGTTCCCATCTCTTTTATGGACCTGCTGTGAATATGCACCCTAAACAGAGAAATAAATGCGGTCAGAGACCTACTTGAGCAGCACCGCCCCCTCAAGATTCTGAGCCTGCCTGGCAGGGTTGGTCCTACAAAGCCAGAGCCCCCTGATGGGAGAGCATAATATACAAGGAAATTCTCAAAGCTGCTAATGAGAACCTTGACGACCTTTTACCTAGCCGGTGGGGATTCCGGTGGGGTACGCCCACCCAGGTAGTGGCAGTGCTGGCAACACTGGCTGCAGTAACCCATGGGGAGGGGGTCACACTCGGACAATCAGAGAGGGGGTTTATCATTGTAGCCCAGGTGGCACAAAATAATCAAAGGTCTGACCGCATGGAGATGCTTGGGAAAATGGTTACAACAGGGGATCAGAGTGTTTGTGTCTCAGGTGAAGAGGGTGGATCTGATCTCCATCACCTAGGACTTGACATAGATTAAGTAGATTAATCAAATCTCACATTGTTATCAATTTCTACTCAATCTGCATGCTTTCTCAGTCAGTTTTAACTGTATGTGCACTCGTAAATCAAGTTATTTCTCGAGTTGGGCTCTGGGATATAACAGCTGTTGAGTATCTGTTTTCATGGTGGACTGTGGAGGAGGGGGGTTGAGTGTGTTGGAGTATGTGAGTATGTGCGTGTGTGCTTGTCTGGCATCTGTTGTGGGGGGGTGGGGATGTTGGGGGGGAGGGAATGGGATGGACCACGGGAATTATTTGCTAGGATAATAATTGCTTGTCAATGAATTAAATGTAATACAATGGCAATCCGGGTTATATGTTAGAATCCTACGCGTGAACTGCTGACATTATCACGCATATTAATTGATAATGATGGAAAATAGGATATGCATAATTTAAAAAAAAATAGTTATATAGATATATATATATATATAGAGGTGAAAGCATTGGAAATGCTTTTGGCGGTTAATCTGCTTCTGTTTTGTGGGTGGCACTGTGTGCTGTTTTCGATGGATGGGTCCTGGCCTCTCGGGGCCTTAGGGATACGGAGGGACGTGGGTGGGATGCTGATCACTGGGATGACGGCTCAACTTGGGATGGGGAGGGGCTTTAGCGGGGGAATTAGTGGAGAACAATTGAAGGGTTACTCCGTAGCAATGCAAATATCACGGTACAGCTATATGGACACTCAATCATTACGCTATTTTTTATTGGTAAATTTACAAACATATATAATGATAAATAGACTTGAAACTTGTATCTCATTATGGTGTATGGTGAAATAAGTATAGCCAATTATAATTGTAATGGCTTAGCTGATAATAACAAAAGAAGAACAATATTTACATGGCTCAAAGAGAAGGAATATAATATCTATTGTATACAGGAAACTCATTCAACAATTCGAGATGAAGTAGCGTGGAAAAAAGAATGGGGGGGGGGGGGGGGGGGGGGGGGAATATACTTCTCCCATGGGCAAACAAATTCAAAAGGGGTGATGATATTAATTAATAGTAATTTCGATCCGAATGTGCAAATTGTACAAATAGATACACAAGGTAGATGGATTATTTTAAATATGTTATTGGACCATAAACAGATATGGCTCATTAACCTTTACGGACCAAATAATGATGATCCACAATTCTTTGACAATATATATAATAAATTATCAAGCCTGCAAGCAACTCAAGACAATATTATTATGGTGGGGGATTATAATACTGTTTTAAATAGCTCAATGGACCGTAAAGGAAATCACACCACAAACAATCACCCACATGCTCTTAAGGAAATTGTGAATGTCATGGATACATTAGAACTAGTAGATATATGGAGGCTTAAATATACTGATCTAGTGAGATATACATGACGGAGACTGAATCAAGCTAGTCGTCTTGACTTCTTTCTTATCTCATTCTCGTTGGCACCAAAAGTAAAAAAAGTGTTGATAAGGGACAGAATGCGGTCGGACCATCATATAATAGGCATATACATTACTCTTACTGAATTTCCACGTGGGCGAGGATATTGGAAATTTAATCAAAGCCTATTGGATGATAATTTATTTATAATTAGAACAAAGGAATTTATAACTGACTTTTTCCAACATAACATAGGTACAGCGAATCCCCTTATTGTATGGGACACCTTTAAATGTGCCTTTAGAGGCCATGCAATTCAGTACTCATCTCGAAAACAAAAGCAATTTAGGTCAAAAGAGTTTATACTAAGAAAGGAAATAGAAAGTCTAACAGAACAGATAGATGGCAATAAAAACTGTAACATAGAGGCTCAGAATAAATTAGAGGAAAAACAAAAAGAAATGGAGAAACTTATTCAAGAAAGATCAAGTGTAATATATTATAAAAATAAAGCAAACTGGATGGAATATGGGGAAAAATGCACAAAATTCTTTTTTAATTTTCAACATAGGAATGCTACCAAAAATAACTTAATGAAACTGGTTACAATTGACGGAGTCACCCATAATTCACCAAATGATATTTTGAAGGAAGAAACAAAGTACTTTAAGCATATGTTTTATTTTCAGTCGCCTCCATCTCCTCTAACTGAAGCTAATTGTAGAGATTTTTTTTCTATTGATAATGTCAAATTAACAGCCACACAGAAAGACTCATGTGAAGGTGAAATTACAGAGGAGGAACTTCTGGATGCAATTAAATACTTTAAGTATGGGAAAACTCCAGGGTTGGATGGCATACCAGTCGAGGTATACCAAACCTTTTTTGATATACTAAGAGGACCGTTATTAGCATGTTTTAACTACTCCTATGTAAATGGTAGATTATCTGACACTCAAGAAGAAGGACTGATCTCATTATTACTGAAACAGGATACAAGTGGAAAATATAAAGATCCAGTCCATTTACAAAATTGGAGGCCCCTTACACTTCAGTGTTGTGATGCAAAAATCCTAGCAAAATGTATAGCGCATAAAATTAAAAAGGTATTGTCGGATATTATTCATTCTAATCAGACAGGTTTTTTACATGGAAGATACATTGGAGATAATATAAGGCAAGTATTGGAAACAATAGAAACAGGGAAATATTTCCTGAGTGGCGCAGTGGTTAAAGGGCACTGCCCGTTCTAGCTGTCCCCACTGAGATCCGGGCAAACCCAGGCTCTTTGCAGCGGCCGGACCGGGAACCAGGGGCACGCAAAATTGGCCCTTTGCCCGGGTAGGGGAGGGAATGGCCCAGGGTTTAGCTATTTTATAAGCATGGTTTTCCCCAAACCCCCGGGTTGGGGTTTTCGATTCCCACGGGGGACCATATAAAAAAATAAAAAAAAATGATTCACTAAGTAAGTCGCTCTGGGTAAGAGCGTCGCTAAATGACGTAAATTAAAAG